GTGTGTGTGTGTCTGAGATTTGTAGGTTTTGTTTATTTAAAGTGGAATAGCAACTTAAAATACTATGAAGATATCACCTGTATTAGATATGTATGCTTTGAGGGGTAAAAAGTATAACTATTGCACTGTGTTGTACAGCTGAAACTAATTTAAAAAATGTTTATTTCACAATAAAAAAATTTTTTAAAACAAAAGAATGTAAAAAAAAAATCTAGACTGATTCTGCACTCAGATCTCCTTATTTTTTAACTTCCTTCTCTGACATTCGGAAACCTGGCTCACATTAAACACTTTATTTACTTATTTGTCCAAATCTAGTAAACATATAAAGTGTTATTAGAATTGTTAACCTGTACATTTACTAACCACAATACAGCTCTTTTCCTTCACCATTACAGTAGCCAGTCAAAACAAGATTTTCTAGTTACTGAGGTCAGCTCCTTTTTTGGGGGGCGTGGAGGGGATGAGGTTAATACATTTGTAACACAGTTAAATGTACTGGTCACAGTCTGCACTGAATCCTTTCATCCTGGGATCCCCTGATATCCAGACTGACTTTTTTTTTTAATTTGCATTCAGAAAAGTTCATTCTTTGAGGTTTTGACAATATGGGTTTTGACAAACGCAGAGTCATATACCAACTGCCACAAGATCATAGAGCACAGTTTCATACCCCAAACCACCCCACTGTGAGGCCCCCTGGAAGTCAGCCCCAACCTGTACGGCTTCTGTTCTCCATCCCCATGGTTTGGCCTGTTCCGTATTGCTTTACAAGCGAAATGATACAACATGAAACCTTGGGACCTGGCTTGTTTCACTAAGCAAAACGCATAAAAGATTCAGACACACTGCATGAATCAACAATTTGTTCTTTTTTTGTTTTCATAAATTTCAAAGTTTACATAGCTGGTATTGCTCCACCCGGTGCCACATTCCCTCGGCCCATGTGGTTTGAGCGCAACACAGTATCGGCACCACACCTAAAGCGAGTTCTGCCACTGCGCTTCACTTCTCCACAGCAGAAGTTTCGCTAGTGCCCGGGAAAGCTATTCATCAGACATGTTGGCAGAGCTCAGAAATATAACGCCCCAGAGGCACTGCTCAGCCAGTAGGGAGGAGAGTTGGGAGGCAGCTGCCCCACCCTCCCAGGTCCTCGGGGGGAACTTTCCACATGCTTGTGCACTGATCCAAATTTCCCAGCATAATAGCCAGTTTAAATGCACGTTACTGGTTTTCTCCCTTCTTTGAAAGTCTCTGTTACCTCAATTGTGCTTCCCAGGTTCACCTCCCAATAAACCATCTCGCCCAGTCCTTGTATAGGCTGCTACCGCTTCTAGAACACTCTTTCCCCAGATGTCCTCAGGATTCACTCCCTCATCTACTTGAAGTGTTTATTCATTGTCACTGCTCAGTGAGAATTTCTCTTACCACTCTATTTTAAATTGCAAGCCTTATGCCCCCTTCTTTGCTTATTTTTTAAATAACACTTTTCACCATCTAACTTCATATATGTATGTGCATATATAATTAATTTTATTAATTTCAATTAAAATACAAGCTCCACAGATGCAGTCATTTTAGTCTAATCTGTTAAGTGTTGTATCTCTAGCATCTAAAATACTCCTTGGCACATAGTAGTCATGCAATAAAACTATACTGAATAAATTATATTTTCAAGAAGGTTGATTTTATTCAGTATACAAACAGAATTCCTTTGGGGGAAAAAAAACACCCTGAAAACGACTGACCTTCAAAACTGAATGGAGTGAATACCCATGGGAGCTTTCAAAATGAGGCCCGCTAACTCCATCACAGACAGAGCACCTTCCCATACTTAGCATGAAGTTTGACATGATCCCTGGAGTGGCCTTTCAATTCTAAGATATAATAATACTATAAACAATACGAGACTACACTATGGGGTAAAAAACAGGCATGAAGCCAATATTTTTCCCTCTTAACAGTTGACATGAAACCAAATCTAGTAACTATACACTATCCACCTGGTTAGCCTGCTGAGTGATTCCAAACAGAATACCATCTACACAACAGAGATGGATATAGGGAAGAATATTTTTTTACCTTTGAATTTTGAGTCTCATTTTCATTGTGATCTTTTTTCTAAATCTTTACTCAAAGAAAGTAAAAATCATTCTGGGTTTTGAAATTGTTTGAAAACAATGTGATTGAAGAATCAAATTGTTTGACAAACTGAAAGTGTTTTCATCACATGTTTCTTACCTGGACATTGGATAAAGGACCACTCGTAGTTTTTTTCTTTAGGACAAAGGCCAGGGTCAAGAACCATCTCATTACTGTGCATTCCAACAAGCTTCATTGGCCCCCGTGAAGACCCTTCGATGCAGTGCCCTCTTCCTGTATTACTAGGATCATTGCACCAGCCACAGCCAGGCTGCTCCAAACATTGTCCACAGGTTCGCAATCCAGAACAATTCTGAGCTGTATAACAGGAACATTAACAAATATGTTATTTGGCTTCATATTCCAATAGAATTGCAAGCTAATGGAAACATAAATATGATCTGAAAAAGAGACTGCAAAAGGTCATCTATAGCTTATTTAAATATTTCTGTAATAATGCATAAGACACAGCAACTACTTAAAGCAAATAAAGCATATATCATGGACAGAGAGGCGATAAATAGACTCACTTGAAGGTTAAAAAGGTGCAGAGACCATGACATGGAGAATAATGAAGTCAGCTCTTAAAGACCCCTGAACTTTTTCAATATCAGGACCTTTGGGGAGCTGGTCCAGGGACCTCCAGCCCACATTTATTATCACTGTCTGTGATGTAGAGCCATGTTAATGTTCTCGTTGTGCCCAGTGAGGGCCTTCAAGGAAAAACTCTGCATCTGCCTATGAATGTCCAGTGTAAGTGATGCCTGTCCATCCCCTGCGATGGCTGAGCCCCATTAGGACTGCCTACCATGGACAATGCTCTTTCCAAGGGTCCAAGATACTAGCATTTGGCTATCGTGTAATGAGTAAACTCAATCTCACCCAAAAAGCCAAACTGAATGGAAACATGGGAACCAGATGCTCTGCCTCCGCCAGGGAACCCGCAGCAGTGGCTTTCTCTGACTTTCAGGGCTGCAGAATATCATGCCAAAACTCACTCAGTAAAGCTCAACCTTTATTGTTTAATTGATGTAGAGCCTATGACCCTCAACAGGGTGTGATGCCTTTCCTAAGGATGAACACGTTATAGTCTGCCGCCATATTTATAATAGTTCCTATGTAATGTTTTAAAATTTTTATTCAAAATCAGAGCATCCTATATTGGGCTGAGATTTTCTTTAATCACTTTTACTGGTTGTTATGCTAGAACAGGCACACTTTGTCTTGGGACTTATTTATCCACAGAAGTTAGTGACATAGGTACCATGAATAATATCTACTAGTCACATTTTTTTCTAGAGGAAAAAAAATGGTAGATTTCTGGCAGACTCAATTTCATCACTGTGGTGGTAATAACTTAATTGCCACTCAGTGTTTTAATATTACTGGAAACAAAAATGTCCCTCCAATTGTTGCAAACAAGATGGTGCACGAGTCTCAGTGAATATCCGGAACTCAGTGGAGAGCACAGGGCGGGGCTAGTAGAATATTAGATTAAAGAATGCATCCATTATAATATGATGTGTTGTTATTAAGTTTTTACATGCTAAGCATTTCAGAGATTGAATGTAAGAAGGTGGAAAATTAGTACCACCTCCTATTTTTCTTTAATATTAAACTTAAAAAGGAAGAATATTCTTTGCGTCACTGAACACAAGTGACTAAAGTTAACCCTGTAGAAAATTCATTCTTTAGTATATAATGCTGAATCAAAAACTGACAGGTTCTATTATTTTTTTTTCTTCTTACAGAAAACAGTAAAAGGAAAGCTTTTATAGGCTATGCTATTTTTCTTCAGTCATGGATAATATAGAGACTATGTATGAACTACAAGTAATTAGAACAATCATTTATTTTATTTTTTTTATTTTTGTCTTTTTGAATGCTTAAGTTGTAAAATATTCAGTATGGTTTTTGAAATGTGTAAGAATTTGAAAAGTCAATCTGTAAGAAATGATGTCATCAAATGATTACTGAAGAGTTGCAGTTTCCAGCCCAGCAGTTAAGGTGCTTCGAAGCCATCAACCACTCCAACCAAACAAAAAGTAAAATGCAACACCACCTGAAAAATCAACAACTCTTCTTAGATCCATCAGAGAAGTGAGGTTCCAGGGCAAACCACTGCCCCCAAATTTGAGAGGCAGACAGGAGGATACAGAAAAACCACAATTTATCCAAGTAGGAACCAGATGACAGGGTAAGAAAACCTGAACTGTAATTGAACAATTGCTGGGACAGCTCACTGTGGGCAACTCTGAGTTTAAATCTCCAGGGGACCCAGTCTTAGGGGGACCCCACAGTCCTGTGAATTTTACCTCCAGGAGCTCTACCAGGTCCTCACAGTGAGTATAAGAGAAAAAGCCTCTTGTGCTTCCAGCAGAGGGGAGAAGAAAAGGAACCGTTTGTAAATACGCCAGAGCATTTGCTGTTCTTAACAAAGTCTGGAGAAACTATTTAACGGAGCCTAAACTGTTGGGATCTTATCAGAGTCTAACTGACCTGGTTAAAGGGAAATATCCAATGCTAGCCTGGTTAGGGGAAGAGAAATACCCAACCTCCAGCCCCCTCCAGCCATCTCATCCCACTTAAGAGAGGAAAAATAACTGAGAACCACTTGTGGGGCTCACAGGATGGGGCACTGACTCCCCGGAAGACTGAGAACTGTGAACTACTTCCCCTCCGCCCACACTGTACCACTACATCGCTCAAGGCAATTTACAGTGGCTTCTTTTCCATAATCATATCTAGCTATCAAGAAAAATTACAAGGCATACCAAAAGGAAACAACACAAACTGAAGAGGCTGAACAAGCATCATCAGACCAGACATGACAAGGATACTGGAATTACAAGACTGGGAATTTAAAACAACCATGATTAATATGCTAAGCCCTCTAATGGATAAAGCAGGCAGCCTGCAAGGACAGATGGGTAATGTGAGCAAAACTACACGTAAGAAAATCGAGATGACTCTGGTTTGGTGATGATGTTTAATTATGCCGCCAAAGGCACAATCCATGAAAGAACTGATCAACTGAACTTTGTTATAATTTAAATTTAAATATTCTGCTCTGCAAAATACACTGTCAAGAGCAGGAAAAGACAAGACACAGACTGGAAATAAATATTTGGAAGAGACACATCTGATAAAAGACTGTTAACCAAAATACACAAAGAACTCTTAAAACTCAATGTAAGAAAACACACAACCCAATTTACAAAAAGGACAATAGACATGAACACATATCTCACCAAAAAAAGATATGCATATGGCAAGGATGAAAAGAAGCTCCACATCATATGTCATTAGGGAACTGCAAACTAAAACAACAAGATACCACTATATACTATTAGAATGGCCAAAATCCGGGGACACTGACAACACTAAATGCTGGTGAGTATTTGGAATTTGAAACAACAGGAGCTCTCATTCCTTGCTGGTGAAAATGCAAAATATATCAACTTTGAAAGACAAGTCTGGTGGTTTCTTACAAATCTACGCATACTTCACCATACTATCCAACAATCACACTCCTTGATATTCAAATAAACTGAAAATTTAAGTCCACACAAAAACCTGCACGTGGATGTTTATAGCAGCTTTATTCATAATCATCAAAACTTGCAAGCAACCAAGATGTCCTTAAGTAGGTGAGTAGATAAATAAACTGGTGTATCCGGACAATAGAATATTATTCAGCTCTAAAAATAAATAAGCTATCAAGTCACGAAAAGACATAGAGAAATGTAAATGCATACTATTAAGTAAAAGACATCAATCTGAAAAGGTTATATACTGTTTGATTTCAAATAAATGACAACCTGGAAAAGGCAAAACTACAGGGACAGTAAAAATATTGGTGACTGCCAGGAATTAGGAGAAAGTGAGGGATGAATAGGCAGAACACAAAGGATTTTTAGGGCAGTAAAACTACGCTGTATGATAGATGCTATAATGATGTACGCATGCCATCACATGTCATGGATCATGGGCACATGATACATTTGTCAAACCCCACAGAAAGTTCCACGTCATGAGATAACCTTAATGTAAACTATGGACTTTGGGCAATGATGATGTGTCAATGCAGGTTCATCAGTTATAACAATGTACCCCTCTGATGGGGATGTTGATAGTGGGGGAGACTGTATATGTGTGAGAATACAAGAGAAATCTGTACTTTCCTCTCAATATTGTGACCTAACACTGCTCTAAAAACTAAAGCCTAATTTAAAAAAAAGGTCTACCTTCCTTTACTGCCAAGAAAAAAATATTTAAATTGAGCATGTACATAAACCTGTAAAATACTGAAAGCAATATAGATTTGTGAGAAATATACTATCTATTTATATTTATAAACTTTATTGGGGAACAAACAGTGTGTTTTTCCCAGGACCCATCAGTTCCAAGTCAAGTAACTGTTTCAATCTAGTTGTGGAGGACACATCTCAGCTCCAAGTCCAGTCACTGTTTCCAATCTAGTTGCAGGAGGTGCTGCCCACCATCACATGCAGGGGTCAAACGGCCACCTTGTTAAGAGCACACACTCTAACCAACTGAGCCACCCAGCAGCCCCAGAAATATACTATATTGTAATTTTTCTTATTCCATTTTCACCATATCAATTTAATTGCATTTTTATTTGAACTTTTATGTTAAGAACTAAATCTTTTATTATTGCTTTAAATAATCTCCTTGAAATTCATTTTTACACAGTATTCAACTACTTAAAATATATTAATTATTAATAATTCCAGTTATTAGCAAAGCTTTTCTAGAAACCATTAGAAAAATTTATCTTAAAATATATTTTTCTTCAATTTGTGAATTTCAAGCATCAATATCATAATTTTACAACTGGAAAATACTGAAGAATATTGAAAAATCCATATTTGTTTCTCATTTGCAAAGAAAAATTTCCTTCAAGTTCCATTTACTACAAAACCACAAATGATCACTGAAACAACTTTCTAAAAGCAATATAAAAACCTGACCATTTCTAATAGGGCTTTATTTATAAGAACGTTTTTAAAAACTTAACTATTGTCAAATATTTAATGAATAACTAGACACACACAGAAAATGATAATGCAAATCTATTGCATATAACTCATATTAAAAAGACGTAAAGTTGGGCCGGCCGAGTGGCGCGATGGTTAAGAACTCGCTTGGGATGCCAGAGGGCCCCGGTTCGGATCCCACATATGAGGGCCAGTGACACTGCCCTCTACAGCTAAGATGCTGAACAACAGCTCAACCTGGAGCTGGGCTGCCGGGAGTCGCCGGCGACGGCGTAGGCTGCAGCCCCTGTGGCAGTGGGTTGCCATGGGCTACCTTGTGTAGCCAGCAGCCAGCGTGAGCGGCCAGCAGCCGCAGTGAGCGGCCGTCCAGAAGCCGGCGACTGATCTGCCTCGCCAGAGAAGAGCACAATGATGGTGCCAACTTGGGCCAGTGAAGCGACATCCTCCACAACTAGATTGAAGAACAAAACAACAGCAACTTGTCTGTTCCCCTTCCCCCAATTCCCCAGCACTGTTCCTATCCCCCTAATTCCCCAAAAAAAAAAAAAAAAAATAAATAAATAAAAAGACGTAAAGTTCAAGGCAAAAGCATGACAAAACCCTTGTGGAGAAACTGACAACTTTCAAACAGTAACACTCAGTCGCTTTTAGCGCTTGGATTTTGAGCAATGATGTTGTCATTATTCCTAGTCCCTATTTTATTTCCTGGCATTTCCTCATTGCTCAATAAATATTTGTTGGTTAAAAACATGAAAAAGAATTAAACAGAAGAGAGATGAAGTTTGTTTTTCACAGAAAGTGGATCACTGCCAGGTAAATACTACTTCTAGAAAGTACAAGGTCTCCCTGAGGCCAAATATAATGCCCGGCTTTCCAACAAGGATGCACAGGGCATATAATTTTAAAAGCTATGAGACAAAATAACTGTTATTGGACATCACCAGCAGAAATGAGCTGAAAAATATTTTTTATTAGTTTCAGGTATACAAAACAATGTAATAGCTAGACATTTACACCCCTTACAAAGTGATAACCCCTCTCCCCCAATCTACTACCCCTCTGACATTGTATATAGCAGTTACAATTCCACTAACTCTATTCCCTATGCTGTACTCCACATCCTGTGACTATATATACATTAAATTATACTTGAAATTCAGTGTAAAGAAATGAGCTATATTTATAGCCCCGGGGAAGGCAAATGTGACAATAGACATAACAGTAAATGAAAAAAACCTATGAAAAAGAAAGATCCAACAGACTAGACTAACTCTCAAGGTACAAGCGACAGACATAGAAAATAAAGCCTCTGCAAAATCAAGAAGCTAAAGATAAAAAATACGAGACACAAAAGCAGAGCGAGAACTGACCTATACATGCCTGACAACCCCACCAGCAGTGGTTATCATAATGTAGTTCATCAGTGGTAAAAACACCATTCCTAACTGGGTTTAAATAGTTAATCACATTCAATTTACCTTCCAAAAAATGCAGTTACAATTTTTATAACAGAATTACGAGGTGTTTAAAAAATTCACTTTAAAGTTAAAAAGATAAAAGTCCCAAATAAAAAAAATCCACAAAAAGAGGGGAAATATCTGGATCTTAGCAGAGGTGGAAAGTACAAGTGAATTTAAAAAATAGTTTGATATATCCAGAAATTACAATAACTATTTAGTCTTTTTGATTCTTTACTCTTTTTGGAAATAGTAAATAAAATAAAATAATCTAAGACATTAAATAACATTTTTAACAGATGAAAAAATACTCTTCAGATTGAAAGACAATGAGAATCAATTTTTAAAATCCACATCAATTACTAGAAAACTGAATTTAAACAAATTGCAAAATTTTGAATGCCAAGGATAAAGAGACAAATCTTAAAAATTCTCAAAGTAAAGAAAAAGTTCCACAAAGACATGAAAATTAAATTAGCATGGGAATTCTCATCCACAACACCCGATGTTAGAAGTTCTGAGGAAAGAATTATTTAGAACTCCACATTCCAGCCATTTTATCATTCAAGTGAACATCAAAAATACGCTTTCAGACACACAAAGTTTCAAAAAGTTTACCAGCCACAAATTTATTTAGAAAGAACTACTGAAAACTTCTCCAAAACATGAACAAATAAGAAAGAAGGAATGGAGTACAAGAAAGATTTGTGAGCAGAAATGACAACTAGACTTAAGTTTAAATCATTTTTAGAAAGCTCTTAAGAGTATTAAAGCTTAGGGCCGGCCGAGTGGCGCGATGGTTAAGAACTCGCTTGGGATGCCAGAGGGCCCCGGTTCGGATCCCACATATGAGGGCCAGTGACACTGCCCTCTACAGCTAAGATGCTGAACAACAGCTCAACCTGGAGCTGGGCTGCCTGTGAGTTGCCGGCGACGGCGTGGGCTGCAGTCCCTGTGGCAGTGGGTTGCCATGGGCTACCGTATGTAGCCAGCAGCCAGCGTGAGCGGCCAGCAGCCGCAGTGAGCGGCCGTCCAGAAGCTGGCGACTGATCATTGCCAACTTGGGCTAGTGAAGCAACATCCTCCACAACTAGACTGAAGAACAAAACGACAGCAACTTGTCTGTTCCCCTTCCCCCAATTCCCCAGCACTGTTCCCATCCCCCCAATTACCCAATAAAAATCTTAAAAAAAAAAAAAGAGTATTAAAGCTTAGAGATTTTCCAAGCTCTTTTTTCCCTACCTTTAGTCTCTTTTATTGTAAAATACAACATACACAGAGAGGAGTACATAAATTATCATATCTAATAAAACATTTATTGTAAATAAATACTCCATACCTGCACCCAGCCTAGAAGTGCAGCATTGCCTCCCTTACCCCCTTTTCCTAATCAGTACCCCCTATCATTTCCAAGTAGCATCCACTGACATTTATAAAAATAACTTTGCCTTACTCTATAGTTTTACCACCTAAATATTCATTGCTAAAAAACATAATGTAGCTTTGACTACTTTTGAACCTTATGTAAATAGTCTTATAATACGTAACCTTCTGTGTCTGGCTCTTTCACAAACGTTAATGTTTGTGGAGAGGCCAACACAACTTGAGGCAGGAGAGGCTGGGCACTGTCTCAACTCCCCACAAGTCTCCAGTACTGGTATTCACTCTCCTAGGCAGCTGGCTCCTACTTAAACGATGTATTCTGTGCTAACAAGATCATCTTACGCCTGCAACTACCCCACTGTCACATACTTAATCAGATACATCTGCATTCCTTATCAAAGTTCCTAAAAAGGGGTAGCACACAGAGCTCAACCTAAAATACATCCAACCATGCCCATCTCAGGAATACCTCTCACCTGATGTCAAGAGCCTGGGGAACAAATGTACGCAACAGCCACAGCCTGGCAGTTCTAACCTGCATTGTAGCACCTACTGCTTTGATTAAGTCATCAAGCCACACTGATGCCCAATAAGGAATAAATATGGGTTTGGCTGGGTCCCTAGAGCTAAAAGACATCCTCCTTGGGAAGGATGGAAGGTCTGGAAAAGCCAGTGAGTCTCCACCTACATTGTCTTAAGCAGACGGCTACCTCTAACTGAGGTCACTCATCCAAGCAAAAAGGGCTGATACCTGGGTGACCATGTTGTCTGAGGGCACTGGATACCAGGAGCAAGCCTCAAAACAGTAGATTCTCCACCAAAAGGATCTCAGCATTATGAAGCTGCTCTTAGAGGAAGCAGCTCTTCCTCTCAGAAGAAAAACGAGAGCTCGGAAGAATGGAAGGAAGAGTGGATTGGCAAACAATGCATGTTGCTTGGGAGAGTTATATGTGCTTCATCACAGTCATGTCGCCAATGGCTGCTCCTATGGAAGGAATGCCAGGAAGCCAAAGGCTCATAAGAAAGCTCCAAAGGTACTTAAGAAAGTTATGGGAACAAGCTGTGTTATGACCCACACTACCAGGAAAGCTGCAAGTGGCTGCTTCCAGGATGGATGCCACCGTTAGCAAGAAACTACACCAGTAGCTTCTATTTGTAAATTCTCCCAAGCAAAGCACTATACATGGTCTCAAATTCCTACAAGGCCACCAAGTGCTATCAGTAACATGATGCAGTTTCCTTGGCAGTGGCATCCTGATGCAATTTGTCTTTGCGAGAAAAGCTACTCTCCTAACCACACAGGACCTAGTGCCACAGATTCAGGCAGGTGCGTCCTCATCCCACAGTCCTCATGAAACCTGACCGACGAGGGGCAGAAGCTTGTCCTGAGGGATGACCCCCAGCAAGCCCAGCACGGCTCTGGTGACATGACTCGCCGCCTGATGCCCAGATGGGGCATCCTGCCTTTGTAGCCGATTTGCCACCATGGGTATGACATTCTTGCCAATAAATGCTTAACTGGAATCTAATCATGAGGAAACAATTAGACAAACCCAAATTGGGAAACTTACAAAATAACTGGTATAGATACTTAAAAAATATCACTCATGTAAGAAAAAAGAAGACACGGGGACTATGCAAGATTAAAGAAGCACAAGAACACAATCTGTGACCATCGACGTGAGCACTGTCATGAAATGTCATGCAGCTTGCAATTACACGCAGAGTTGGGGGCAGGGCAAATGTGGCAAAATGTTAATACGCAGGGTAAGATGCCCGGAGGAATTCAAAGTGATGGTATGAAATAAATTAGGTGTTTATAGCATTAATAGGTTTTAAAAAGAGCTGTGACAATACTGTCTCTCATTTTTTTAAAACGTCCTCACATGCTTAATTCCTCAATCCAGCCTAGAAAAGTGATCCATGTGGCTGTTAAATGGAAAGTCACTCCAGGTCAACACTTACGAGAGCAGGTTGCAGTCTGCCACTCCAGACACTGTCCGTACGGAAAAGAGATGATGTAGGCGTTCGAGTCGACGCAGCGCTTCGTGCTGCTGCACCACATGCACTCCATGCCGTTGCTGGTGCAGTTGGAACACGACGTCCTTAGAGAGCATGGCTTTTTGCAGGGCCTTGCGTTTTGATTTGGACTGACTGGAATAAATCCACAAACGTAATTATTTTATTTACAATTGCATTTTACACAAGTAAATGGGTTTGAGTGTTTTGCTGTTTAGGGTATGTTTCCATTTAGCCAAGTATGGAATAAAAATTATAGCAAAAGTTACTTGATAAGGTAAATGAAAATGATGATGATATGTCAATACTTCTTAAATTTATTATCAAATTTGAACGTTATAATTGCGTGGAAACTTCTAGTCCTTTACAATGTACATAAAGTTGTATAATTTAAAAGTTATAAAAAGAAATGTAATACATGACATGGCTTGTGTATCTATTGGCTAAATAATATACACAGTATCATATTTACTTTTCTAGCCACTCCATAAGTATGCCACACTTTATCAAAGCAAATGTCCTGTCAGTAAACACATCTCTGATATAAACAAACTATAACAATAAAACAATTTACCATAAAATCTTTATAGGAAATATAATGTTTTTCACATCCATTAGGATGACTATTATTTAAAAAAATTTTTGAAAGGATATAGAGAAATTGGAACCCTTGCACACTGCTGGTGGGAAAGTAAAATGGTGCAGCTTCCATGGCAAATAGTATGGATAGTCCTCAAAAAATTAAAAATAGGATTATCATATGATACAGCAATTCCACTTCTGTGTGTGTATGTGTGTGTGTGTGTGTGCATACAGAAGACGTGAAAGCAGGAACTGGAATAGGTATGTGTACGCTCATGCTCATAGCAAGCACCATTATTCACAACACCCAACAGGTGGAAGCAACCCACGTGCCCATCAGTGGATGAATAGAAAAACAAAATGTGGCATAGACATACAATGGATAATTATTCTGGCTTAAAAAGAAATTAAACTTTTGACACACGCTACAACATGGATGAAATCTGAAGACATTATGCAAGGGAAATAAGCAATCACAAAAAGGGTGTACGCCTTATGAGTCCACTTACATGAAGAACCTAGAGCAGTCCAACTCATAGAGACAGAAAGCAGCAGGTGGTTGTCGGGGTTGGGGTAAGGGTGTGGGGAGTAATTGTTTAATGGGTATGAAGTTTCAGTTTGGGGAGATGAAAGAGCTCTGGAGCTAGATGGTATTAATAGATGTGCAACAATAGGATGTACTTAATGAAATCTACACTTAAAAATTGTTTAAAAATTAATTGTATGTTATTAAAACTGAAAGAAAAAAGTCGTTAAATTGGTTAAATTTTATATTGTATGTTTTTACCATAATAAAAAGTATATTTTTTTAAAAAAAGAATTCAATATTCCTTTCTCGCTTAACAAAAATTCTTTAGATGTAATAGAAATATTTCTTTTTACTTGCTGACTGAAATAAATAATAAATCTGCAACATTAAAATTCTAAATTGGGTGTTAATCTTAAAGACAAATGTTGGCTTCTAAAACTATCATTATACAAGACATTAACCAATTAAGAATAGATTCTTCGCATACTGAATTAACTACAACCATATATTCATAATCATTATTTCAACTAACAAATAAAAGATTGTTTAGAACAATAAATATTTTTTGTTTTCACAAGTTAATGTGAAGATCACTAACAGTAAGTGGGTAATGTGGTAAAGACAAAATCTACATGAGGATCAGGATCACAAAAAGATGGCGAAAGTTACGACAGGCCCACAGACTATCACACCCTGGAAGGGGATGATGGGAAGAGTGGTTGCAAACATTATGATTTTAAAGAAATACTAGTTTACTGGACTACTTACCAACAGGTTTCTCACAGACAAGGCCATCTGCCATAGATGTACAAGGATTAGCTTTCAAGCCTGCCACTGCAGCCCTTTCTAGATAAGCACAGAACCCAGAATCATTTGGTTCACCAGGAAGCCACTGGAGTGTTGTGTTTGTAAATGGAGACATGTCTTCCCATCCCCAGTAGGATATATTGATCTTGCGCAAGCCTACCCAAGGTGATACTTTCTGTAAACGATAGCAAAGGGGGCATTAAAAAAAATTTAGATGTAAAAATACTGCATCATATTCCTTAGCAAATAGTTTGTTATCATGAAAAATTACATTGGAAAATATATAGAACTGGCTTTCTAATGACTTCCTCTACCTAGGATAATGAACAATGACAGCACATTTTGGAGAACAATGCAGAATACAACACTATGTTTAAATATACTCTGTGTTTAGCTAAATGATTGGGGTTACTTATTTAGCCCTTGTGAACCTCAGTTTCCTCTTCTAGTAAATGGGGATATAAATATCTATCTTATGAAGCAAGATCATTAAAGAATTTAACATATCCTGTTGCTGTTACTGCTACTGCTAGTGATGCTACTACCACCATCACCATTATCACTACCATCATCACCACCACCACCATCATCACCACCACCACCACCATCACCATCACCACCAACACCACCACCATCATCATACCCACTACCATCATCCTCACCACCACCACCACCACCATCACCACCACCATTACCACCACCACCATCACCACCACCACGACCATCAACACTACCACCACCACCATCACCATCACCACTACTACCACCACCATTATCACCATCATCACCAACATCATCACCACCACCACCACCACCACCACTAATCCACCACCATCACCACCACCAATCTAATCAGTTATGGAGATAAGAATCTAAAGATAAATTGTCATTATATGCACTGTGAGAAAATAGAAAACAAAATCAACAGTATATAGAGGGTGAGTGAAAACTTTACAATAGGTTTACAAGAAGAATAACTACCTCTCTCCTAGTTCAGACCTCTATTAGTACATTAGGACTTTCAAGCAATTTTAGATAAATTAATGGCATCTACCTTCTTTATTAAAGAGATTAAGAAAGCTAATAAAATCTTTGACTCTTATGCCTAAAATTTAATTGACAGAAGTTGGCAAATGCCACAAAACTAAATTTTCTTAGTGCTCTCACTAATATATAAAAAGTAGCTTGAAAACAAAATATATTCTGTATTCATATATCTTATTTTAATCATTATTCAATTTTAAAATGTTATTCTTATGATAATCAAAAAATAATGATATATTCTTGGTCCAAGCTATTCACTCTCTTTACAAAACTCTATTAGATTAGAAACACCTCCATCTTTTTTCCTTGTTTCTGCGTCAAAGTTATGCTTTTTCTGAGATATTATTTTTTTAAATTTTTTCTAGCTTCCTTGAGGAATAACTAACAAAAATTGTACATATTTAAGTTGTACAGTGATGTTTTGTTATAAGGACACATTGTGAAATGATAACCACAATCAATGTAATTAACATACCCAGCACTTCATATGCTTTTTTGTGTAGTGAAAACATTTAAGATCTACTCTCTAAACAAATTTCAAGTATACAATACAGTATTATTAACTATAATAACTATGCTGTACATTAGATCTCCAAAACTTATTTATCCTGCATATCTGAAACTTCGTACCCTTTGACCTACATCTCCACATTTCCCCCATCCCCCAGCCCCTGACAACCACCATTTTACTCTGTCTGCTTTTATGAATTTGACTTCTTATAGACTCCACATATAGGTGAGATCATATAGCATTTGTCTTTCTGTGTCTGGCTTATTTCAAGCAGCATGATGTCATCCAGGTTCATCATATTGTTACAAATGGCAGGATTTCCTGCTCTTTTAAGGCTGAATAACATCCCATTGTATTTCTCACATTTTCTTTATCCATTCATCCATCGATGGACACTTAGATTGTTACCAGAACTTGGCTATTGTGAATAATACTGCAATGACCGTGGGAGTAGTCATCTCTTCCAGATACTGATTTAATTTCCTTTGGATATATACCAAGACCTGGGATTACTGGTAATTCTATTTTTAATTTTTTGAGAGATCTCATAATGTTTTCCAAATTGACTGTACCAATTTACATGCCAATTTATATTCCCACCAACAGTGCACAAGGGTTCCCTTTTCGCCACATTTTTGCCAAAACTTACCTCTTGTCTTTTTGATAAAAGCCATTCTAACAGGTGTGAGGTAATATCTCAATCGGTTTTGATTTGTGTTTCCCTGATGATTAGTGATGAGCTTTTTATCACATACGTATTGGTCACTTGTATGTCCTCTTTGGAGAAATGTCTATTCATGTCTTTTGCTCTTTTCTTAACTGGTTTATTTTCTTTTCTATTGAGTTCCTTATATATTCCCAACACTAGCTCCTTATCAGGTGTATGGTTTACAAACACTTTCTCACATTTCACTGATCGTCTCTTCACTCTCTTGATTGTTTCCTTGGCTGTTAATGATGCAGTCCCATTTGTCTCTTTTTGCTCTTTTTGCCTGTGTTTTGGGGTCATATTAAAAAAGTCACTGTCCTGTCCAATGTCAAGGTTTCCCTCCCATGCTTTCCTGTAGTTTTACAGTTTCAGGTCTTACATTTAAGTCTTTAATTCATTTTGGTTTGATTTTTATATATCTGTGAGATAAGGATCCACTTTTACTCTTTTGCATGAGGGTATCTAGCATCATTTATTGGAAAGACTGCCCTTTCCCCGTTGTGTGTTTTGGGCACCTTTGTTGAACATCAGTTGATCATAAGTGCATGGATTTATTTCTGGGCTCTTGTAATGTGTTTTGGTAAATAAATTTTTATGTTTAATCTATCTGAGGTTCTTTGGAATTTATGCATCTGAAAGTTCATGTCCCTCTCCATATTTGGGGAGCTTCCTGTCATTATTTCATTAAATAGCTTTCTGCCTCTTTTCTGTGCCTCCTGGGACTCCTGTAATGCACATATTTGTCACCTATGGTCTATCAATAATCTCATAAGCTTTTATTCACTATTTTTCATTCTTTTTTTCCTCTGAGTAATTTCAAATTACTTGTGTTTTAGCTCATTGATTATTTCCTCTGCATGATAGAGTCTGTTGTTGAAGCTGTTTATGGAATTATATAGTTGGCTCATTGTGTTCTTCAGCTTCATAATTTCTGTTTGGTTCTTTTTTATGGTTTCTGTCTATGTTGAACATCACATTTTGTTCATGTATTGTTGTCCTAATACCATTTAGTTGCCTATCTGTGTTCTGTTGTAGCTCACTGAGTTTCATTTAGACGATTATCTTGAATTCTTTGACAGGCAGTTTGCAGGTCTCCATTTCTTTAAGGTTAGTTACTGTGCTTTATTTTATTTTTTTTTTTGGTAGCGTCATGTTTCCCTGATTTTTTATGATCCCAGGGCCCTTGTGCTGGTATCTGCGCATTTGAAGAAATCACCTCTTCCATTCTTTACAGACTAGTTTCTAGGGAAAACACTTCACTGTCAGCCCACCCAGAGATTCTGATGGGCTATGTGGTGGGGTCCATGGGTAGGCTTACTGCTGGAGTCCTTGGGTGGGCTGGCCTGGTGCCTACGTCAGGGAGTGATCAGGCCCTTCACCTGGGACCTGCCTGGTTCTTGGGTCCAGGGCGGCAAGCCTGGATCCTGAATCTGTGGGTACAGGCCTTGTCCTGGGTCTACAGTAGCCAGCCTGGCACAAGGTTCCATTAGGGTAGGCCTGAGAACTGGGTCCACAGAGGTGGGTCTTGAGCCTGAATCCTTGGGGACCAGCCTGGTGCTGGGGAAAGCCTGGGAACTAAGCCCACAGGTGTGGCCCTGGGCCTGAGTCTGCAGGTGCTAGCCAAGTTCCAGGGTCCACTGGCACAGGCCTGGTACCTAGATTCATGAGAGCGGGCCTCGCCCTGAGTCCTGGGGGAAGGCTCAGTACCTGGGATTATAGAGGCAGGCCAAAAGTTGGGTCCATAGAGGAGGGCCCGAAGCCTGAGTCCACTGGGGTGGACCTGGTCTTGGGTCCACAGGGACTAGCCTCACGCTGGGGTCTATAGGGAGGGCCTGGAGCCTAGGACTACAGGGGTCATCCTGAGGCTAGGTCCACAGATGCCAAACTTGAACCTGAGTCAATGGGGTCCATTCTGGAGCTGGGGCATGCCTGCTGCCTGGGTCCATGGGGACCAGCCAAGCACCAGGGTTCCCTAGAGCAGGCGGGAAGCTGGGTTCCACGACAAAGTCAGGTGCTCGCTTCACTCGCCTTCCCCTTTTATGAGGGCGCGTCTCACATGCTCCACTGCCCTGCACAGCCTTGGGGAAAGGGCGACGCAGGTAATACCAAAGTGTCCTTTCTACCCTAGTCTATGAGTCTTTTCTTATTCCTATGTTCCTTCCAGGTGCTACTGTGAATAATGTAATCTTTCACCTGGATTCCTTACTCTTGTAAAGTTATTTTTGTACATAGACAGCTGTTCAAATCAATGTTTCTGTGAAGGGACAGGCATTGAACACTCCCATTCTGTCATCTTCCTAACATCATCCCGAAACACTTCTACCTTAATATACATGTTAATACATTTATTATCTAAGTTACTAAGCTAATAAGATTATATTACAATGTTAAGTGGTTTCAAAACTCCACATCATCCTTTTGTTAACATTATGGGTTGTCAGGGTAGAGAAGAATATGTCTCTCCATCTGAGTCTTTAACAATATAGACATAGGAGATATAGATCCAGTGTTTATGCTAAATATGTTATACAAATAGTCCTAGGGAGCTTATGAAGATGGTCATAGACCTTAGGAATTTGTAATTTGTATATATACACCTTAAAATAAATTTAGCAAATTTCACAGTTAACAGTCAACAAATATTTCTTAAATAAAATTAAAATATCAGATGGAGAGACATATTTTTCTCTACCCTGACAGTCCATTATGGCGGTAGATTTCATATAACCTAGCAGAGTACTGTACACATAGTAGGTAGTCAATACATTTTGGTAAACAAAGTTCATTAGAACAGAGTAGCTATTTTCTACCATCCAATTCCTGAGATAAAGATAGTCCTTAATAAATAATGTTTCTAATTATAAAAATACACATGCTGCTATGCCTTGTGATCATCATATATTTCATACATTATTCATATAACAAAAAAGCTATAACATCTTTACAGTTCTTGATAATAACAGCAGGAGTCAATCCAACATAGATATTTCAGATTAATGATTGTGCTTCACATTACAGCAACTCTGCCTGTATTTCTGAACTATCTATAGTAAAGACAAGACATTTAAAATGAAATATTACTCTCTAACTAACTCATCATGATAAGAATCTTCAAGGAAGAGGAAAAGAACAGAAAAATGAAACAGTTGATAAAACACTTAAAGTAACTATTACCCAGTAAATGAACTGGACAGACAGTTGAAAATGAAAGATAAATTACTATATTATGAAAATTTACAACAGTACACCATAAATCATCGCAACATTTCATTAGCCATTTCTGATAAGTAAATGATCATCTGACCCAAGACATCTCTTTGAAGTACATGAATTTGTTGATCTTTATTAGCCAAGGAAAGGCTATCTTAAGTTTACACAACTGGAATGACTCAGGATATAATTCATTTTATATAAAGATATGCTTAATGGAATGTCACCTTGCCCAACTTTCCACTTTGAAAATTTGCTAAAGCTCAGCTTTCTAAAGAAACAAAATATTCTTCGTTTGCAGGACATGCTAGTTCACAAATTATCAAATCTAAGTACATCACAGATCCAAAATAATTGTTAGTTCAATCTTTAAGATTTATAATAATAAACAAGAAAAAAACAAGCAAGTAATACAAGTAATCCTGAAATATGCAGCTTCTAAAATAGCATATAGTATAAGAAATAAAAATAATATTTTATAAACAAGGAAAGAAATAGATCCCTAATGCCAAATATCATTTTATATATATAACTCAAAGAATGTAGATTTACCAATAGTAAGATCTTTGTAAGTGATACAATTTAGTAGAACTAATTTTCAAATGTTCATTGGAAATTGTCATGAAATTTTGTAATTAAGGCAATAAATCTCCTGGGATCACAAGAATATAAACAGATCTTACGTTGTATGCTCCATGTGACTAAAAATAAAACTTTACTAATATACCTTGTCACATATTTTAAACTACTAAAAGAATCAACAAGTCTCTCCTACATGACACCACATACATCTTATCCTTCAGCCATAAGGCTGGTAGCTCTCAAACTAACTAGATTTAGTAAATGATTTCAAAGTGAAATAAGTCAGACAAGGAAAGATAAATGTTATCTCACTTATATGTGGAATCTTAAAAAAAGAAAAAAAAAACAAGTTCATAAATCCAGAGAACTAACAGGCTGGTGGTTGCCCATGGCAGGGGATGGAGGGTGGGCAAAATGAGTGTGGAAGATCAAAATGTACAAACATCCCGTTATAAAATAAATAAGTTAAGTCATGGGGATGTAATGTATAGCATGGTGATGATAGTTAATAATTCTGTATTGTATTTTTGAAAGTTGCTAAGAAAGATCTTAAAACTCATCATCACAATAAAACAACTTTTTTTGTAACTATGTATAGTGACAAATGTTAACTACTTACTGTGGTGATCATTTCACAATATATATAAAAATTTGAAATCATTATGCTGTACACCTGAAACTAATATGTCAATTAGACCTCAATTAAAAAAAATGTCCTCAAGGCATTTCAAGTTAAGTATATGGACTAAATAAGGTATTTCCAAACTAGATTTAGTAAATTATTTCTAAATCCCCTCTTTAATGTATTCTTAAGAGTTGACTATATTTAATATCCCAACAATAGAAAAGGAATAAATTCCTTTTGGAAATTTCTTACAAAATGATATCATGATACCATTTTCAATTAAATATTCCATTCTTTATGGAAATATTTTCCATAAAACAACTCCCTAGAAAACTGAAACTGTTTCCAAGTGCTGTATTATATGTTTCAATATATTCCAAATATTTTAAAAATTGGTTTTAGTCCTACTGTTACTATATTATTTCCTGCAAATCTATTCTTAGAAAAATAGCATAATTAAAAAACTTAACTCACAATACGTACACACACACACACACACACACACACACACACACACTCTCAAAGAAATATACATCTATACAAATATAGCCAATGTGTTAGTCCAGTATTTTCATTATGAGGGATTTTTCAAGTTACAAAGTATGTACACTTCAAAACAAATTGTTAAATTAATGCCATGTTTTTTAAGTGTTTTTAGTTTCATTCATATGAGATGAGTTCTTGGTAAGATAATGCAGCGGTTTACAGTACAAAATATGAGATGAGTAATTTAGAAAACCTTATTACTGAATACCTATACAGAACGTGTCCTCTGCCAGTTCGCTTTCTAAATCAGTTCTACTTTTACTTCCAAGATTTAGCAAAAACAATGCATTAAAAAACAAAAAGAATGAATCATTGCCAATAATTATAGGATTATCAGCATATTTCCATAATATAAATATGTATAGTTGTTACCTGTTGTGTATACTTCTGTATTTCATCCAGAACAAATTCTACTTCTTTTGAGGTTGTTAATGAAGCAAGATTTCCACTAAGATTGTAGCAATAAAGCTTTGCATTGTCATAGCTTTCTCTACTGGAATTGATTCTAAGACAAGCATCCCCAATATGATTCCATCCTTCTCCACAAAGATGAGCTAGTCAAAAAAATTATATTTTATTCTTAGATTACCAAAAAGCACATGTATTTTTCATTTATTTCAGAATTCTAAATATAACTTCTGTGTTTATTTAAATAATTTTAACAATAAAATATTTAAATATATCAATATAATATACTAAAAATTTATCTATTAGTTCCGTAGGGAATGGGAACATAAGGACTTAATTTTTTCTTTAATTCTTATATATAAGATAAGCTTTGGCTCTATAAATCTGTAAATCTAGTGTATTGGCACATGCTACCTCAACAATTAAAATCAGTACTATATTTACATCCCAAGGTTCAATTTACATAATACAAGATCACCCTGATAGAAAAGTAACCAGCATATAATGAAAGCAATTTTAAAGTTATTACTACAAGTGTAGCTACTTGTCCTCCAAATCTAATTTCCATAGTCCAGGTGTATTATTCTGATATATGATGGGTTCTTTGATTCTTTAATTATAACTGTGGGGAGAGAATTCTCATTTCATTCATGTTTAGATAAGAAGCTATAATCTTTGCTTTCTAATGTTTATTTTTACACAGCTATTCAGGTTTTTCTAAAGTGTAAACACACTATGCAGTAATAGTGATTTATTCTTAGAGTTCAAATCGAACTTAAAACAGCACCTATTTCAAAAACACAGATCTATAAATACATTATAAAGTTATGCTCTGGTGTGCACTAATTATTAATGCAGTGTTCCATTAACACTGATCCATAAAGCTGGCTACATTTTAGTTTCCATATCATACTAAACTTATCTGGGCCTCCTGCCTTTTTGGCCTTAGATGCATTGGTGTCGCCTTTATGGAATTGTTCTAAAGCAGTCATTCTCAAACATTTCGCTCCAAGACTCCTTTAACTCTTAAAAATTATTGAGGACCCCACAGATCTTTTCTTCATGCATTTTTATATCTATTGGTTTTGACCACATAAAAATTAAAACTGAGCATTTAAAGATGTATTTATTTATTCTTTTAAAATTATAATTGAAAAATTCATTACAAAAACACTCTTTCAGCTTCTAGGATGTCTTGCCCCTTTATGTTATATTCAGGCCCAAAGGACACGCATCATCAAATTCTTTCCCTGAGAGACAGCAGTTACCAGTTCAAATTAGGTCTCTTGCATCAAAACGTTAGGATAGACTGATGAGTGAATGGATAGACAGAAAGATCACAGGTAAAGCAGAGCATAATGTTCACAGTAGAATCTACGGGGTGGGTTATTGGGTGTCCTCTCTAATAGTCTTTCTGTTTTTCTGTATGTTTGAAATTTTTCATAATAAAATGTTGGGGGGAAACATTACAACTGAAAATAAATAGGGTATTTTTTTTCAATTATAATCTCCAAAACAAAAAGCAAAATGGTGAAAAGTGTGGCCTTGCTTTACACTTTTGCAAATCTCTTTAATGTTAGTTTAATATAAGACAACTGTATTCTCATATCTGCTTCTACATACAATCTATTAAAATCATACATCACGCAGCCTTTGGAAAACTCCACAGTGAACCCACAACAAAAGGAAAATTAAAAAAGCAAATAATATTAGTGTTATTAGTTTTGCCCTCAAGGACCCACATGAACAGGAGACTCCTTTCCTTTAATAAGGATTAAATTGGATACCATGGATAACACACCATGCCTGGAATATAGTAATCCCTCAATCAACTGTAATTGTCATTTAATAAGATTGTTTGAAACACCTTTGTTTTCATTTTCAGGCTACACATATAGCAATCTTCCTCGTCTTCTAGAATCTGAAGAGTCAAATCACTTTAAGGAAACAGTACAAAATTTTTATTAAATTTCGGCTTTTTCTTACATTACTGGATCAAGGAAGGATTTAGATTTTTAAATTTTGGCCATTCTCTTTTTCTTTATTTATGAGAACAAAAATACTCAGTTGAGAATAAGAAATTATTTCAATGTTATAGAATATATAACAACTGTGGCTAGGCTAAAAATAAACTCCTTTTCTGTTTTAGGTACCTACTCAAGCATTATGAGTGCAATGATACAATTGGGATTTGCCCTTAAAATAATCCACCTTAAGAGCATGGGTGGGGAGTAGATGAAACAAAGCTGCCAAAATACTGATGCTTATTGAAGTGGGGTGACGGGTACATGGGGGGGATCCACTGTAGGATTCTATCTTAGTGTATGTTCGAAAATGTCCATAATAAAAGGCAAAACACACACACACACACACAAAAAAAATACTCAGTTGACAAATCATACAAATGAAACCAAATGCATGGGCCCTTGAGAACAAACTAAATTAAACCACTGAACCAAATATTTTGATGTTTTAGGCTTTTGTAGTATTGTGCATCAACTCAGCTTTAGAGATAAAAGGGTAGCAGCTAATTTTTTTAATGAGTTTAGTGAATAAATTCACAAATTTCCATGGAAAAGTGTAACTGCTACAGACAGGGCCCTCCATTTAGAGAATTCACTTCCTCCAGAGAAGCTACATGGAAACCAAACTATAAATATACCTAGTTGATGCCTTAATAAATACAAACACAGAACAAGGGAAGTTAGTGCATAAGATATTATATTGTATTGTACTGTATTGTATTTATTATCTCCACAATAATAGCCTGGTCAAGTGGGACCCTTTTACCAAACCACATTTTTTTTTCCTTGACAATGAGCAGGTAGGTGCTACTAAATATAACTTTACTATTATTTTTCAAAACTTCCACTACTTACTAAATCCCCTTCTTATTGAAGAAGTCTTCCTTTGTATGCTCCTTCAGTCAAATCGTACTTTGATCCAGAATTTACTGTCTTTTTTAAGAGACTTTGTATTTTCACTGCTTTATGTGTGGACTTTAGAGTTTAACAACTTAGAAATCAATAATACTTTCAAGTTATTTGTCACCTCATTATTAATGCTCTTAGCCTACTGCATTAATATACTTTTAATTTACTCAAAGTGAACACACATGCATACATCACTATTTAAAAGCTTTAAAGGTCAATATATAAACAAAATTCAAAATTTGAATGTTTTAAACCTTAATGGTACTTTTATTAAAGTCAATCTAATTTTATTTAATTAAATTAAACTTATAAGAAAAACATAAAGGCTGTGGTGAAATTTTCCAATACTTTTTAGAAATACATAGGCTAAGAAATTTTTCTCTGACAAAAAAAAAAGTGTGGATAAAAAAAGGCAAAAAAACTGAAGACAGGCAGAACACCCAGTTAAAAGCTACAGCTCCCATTCAAAGCCATGCAACTCTGAAGAAGTCATTTAACCAGCGTGTGTCTCAGTTTATCTGTATAACAAGGAGATAGAACTGGTTAAATATGTATTACTTTTCAATTTTCTGATTTTCTCTTTTATATTTAAAAAGAAGTGTAGTTACTGTCTACTAAGAACAGTGTGAACTGTAAAACATAAATTGAAATTGCTTTTTAAAACAAGCTTTGCTCTCATTTGCACAACTTAGATCATCAAACTATATATTTATTACAAAGGTTACAATTTATGATAAAATAGCAGTCAGTAAAACATAGTTCCTGGAATTTAAAAAATAAAGGACATTTAAAAAACTAATCAAATATGTCAAAACGTTATCATTTGTTAAATCTAGCTATCAGTCTGAATGCTAATTATTTACTAAGTTAAGATATACTTTTGTAAAATTGAAAAGGATTCTGATCAAGTCAATAGTATAATACAAGAAACCTTGGACATCTTAAAAGAATTGGAAGCAAACACCAAGTTCTCTTGTAGAAACAATGCTATTATAACTTCAACATTATTGTTTATTTGCTATTGATTTAATTTTATAAAATGAAATGTTCTTACTAAACGCTTGCTCTTATAATTGTATGCATCTGTGGACTATAAAACTAATTTACCAAATTGAAATTGTTACCTGGTAAAGCCTGGCATTCTTGTTGTCTCTGATCCCACTGGCAATTCAAGTTTAGTGAACAGCTTTTACAGCTGGTAAGTTTGTTACAAATCTGCTCATTTCTCACATGACATTTGGTGTAGTTCTTCACAGACTAGAAAGTTAAAAGATAAAACATGTTATTTTTCACCTTTGTACAGCAATGATTCTTAAACTTCAGCATATATATAAATCACTGGTGAATTTTAAAATACAGATTTCTAACCCCAAATTCAGTTGTACTGAATCGGAATCTCTCTCCATTTCGTTAAACTACAGTTCTTGGAATTAGAATGTGTTCTTATCAGAAAAAAATGAGTTAATTACATGATTTGAAACAGAAACCATCGAATGAAAACCTTTTCTACTGAATTTTGTAACAGGCTTCCAATTCAATAAAAAAAGCTAATGCACCAAGTCATTTCTCTTGATTATCAATGAAATAATTCTAGTGATAATAAAACTATCATGCAAGTTTTCTGGGAATGAAGTAGAAATAATAAGTAATAAAAATTAAAGAGGTGCTTTATCAAAATCTAATACAATCTAAAATGATAAATTATTTTCTCAATAACTCAGACTAATTTTACTTCCATAGACACTAAATAATGGTTTGGGTTAACTGATATTTCTTCTGTATGTACTTGTTCCATTACCTTTATCCAGGCTGTAAACAGCCTGCCAAAGTTACAGTCTGATCAATCCAACAACCTGATATAATCACAGTTCAAAACTAATTCCAGCACTCAAGAGGTTAAAGGTCAAAAAGGAAAAAAAATAGGCAATATAGGGACTCTGGTAGTAGTTCACTACAAGGTTCAGATATTTCACATATTTCACATAATATTATCAATATCTACAATGAAATATACCTTGTGAATATCAGACACTAACATTTTTGGTTCAATTCTTCCTGTGACTCTTCTTTGAAAAAAATCCATAAGGAATTAATGCTGCACATTGGGCCTCACCTCAACCTTTTTATCCTCTATACGTATTATAAAAATGCTTACCTCAGGCTTTCTCATAAAGCGAGCTGAATATTTCTTTTCACTCAATAAAGTTAACAGCTAAAATTTAGTGATAACTATCCCACACATAAAAATAGTTGAAGCAATTTTTATCTTCTTATACTTTAAATGTAACTCACCAAATATTTATTTATAAACTACTATACCTTGCTACATAAAATACATCGCCTTCATCTCTATCCCATAAATGTTCATTTCTTTAAAGCAAATTACAATACGAGGTAACAGATAAAAAGTACATAGATACTGTTTATCTTTATTAAACCTAGAAAATCACAAAATATACACTTTTTAAAATCTCAAATTGCTTTGTGACTTATTCAACATCACATTTTCATTAGAAACATATTAACTTTCTTATTGTTATTTTTTCTGATTCATAGCTTCCTTTCATACAACACATAAATGTTAATATTATTCTATATGATCATTAGAGTACAGTTCCAAACATTTGCCAGCTAACTGAAGAGAAATAAATGTACTTGAATCATCTGAAAAAGAGAATAACCTATAAAAACAAGAGAATGGCTAAACAACATCTTAGAGTGAGAGAAAGAATAACAGTTTAACGGCAGCCCTTAGAATAACAATGGTATCATTAAAGTCATCATCCAAATAGCTATACGGCTATTCATTAAGAACAGTATAGTTATCTATTCATACTGATGAAACTATATTTCAGTTACACACAGGGCCAATTTAATTAATTATGGAAGAAAGCTGGCTGTTATTCTGAAACATGGCTGGCATTTTTTGGCCTAATGAACCAGATGTACAGTAGTAAACAGACTATGAAGACTAACCACTACTCTACTGATCTTCACTCTAACATATTTAGATGTAAATTTAAAATGAAAATCTGTGAGAAGCAGGTTATTTGAGCTATCAGAGCACAAAATATGCAACTTACAGTAAATATGACTAAATAATGAAATAGGATATCAGTGGACATCATTTACACTAAACTCTCATAGACCTTTCTGTACCCATTAGCATTTGGCTTAGCTTAATTACCAGACACTGTGATAAAGCTGTCTAAAAGACACATTACATCAAAGTCTAAATTACAAGTGAGTACCATCTGCTCACTTATACTATCTCACCCACTGCTTTCCTTTTTAACACATCATTATCAAAAATGAAATATAAAGCAAAATAAAAACCATTTTATGAGTACTTGATAGCAATTTATATAACAATTTTTTAGATATGTGTATTTTCACTTAGTGTAAATGTCTAAACACAAATTAACTCAGGGTTATCCGATAAAGCTTTAAATAAAATCTGCTTTCAATTTTTGTCTAATAACATTCTCCATTTTAGTCCCTTATTCCCATGCTTCATTTTACTTCCCTCACTCCTATTTCCACATTACTCACTTCAACTCTCATTAGATGAATATTAATGCAAGTATAAAAAAGCAATTCAAATTTTCAAAGAAGAGTCATATCATATGAACATTAAAACAAATAAAATTGAAGTATATATTATTACTAAAGCAACTTACATAACTGGAAAGTATATACCAACATAATATGAAAGTAAAATGGTTCAATCTGATGAGTCAATAACTGAATTTTTTTTTCCATTTCAAGTTTTGAATATTATTTTAAAATGGAATCATAAAACTTAGTATTTTGAAATATGATTGGTTACTAGAGAAAAGTTTTAGATGACACAATGAAAGTTTTTTACTTAGTTTTCAAACTCCCTTTTCTTTACCTTTTACCTCTCTGCCTACCATCTTGAAAAACAATAGGTACTTCTGATTTAAAAAAATTCAGAAAAATTAATGTATGCTATATTTAGTAGTTGAAAATCTGTATGTACATTAGTTACTTAAGCTATAGCCCCAAAAATGAAAATTGAATCAGATTAAATACATTTTTAATACTTTTAAATTTTTCTTTCAATGCATTGACATCTTCTAAAAAAAAAACGGGATTTTTTTTTTACTACCCACTTAAAAGGTTAATTTTTACTGCTCTTAATCCATTTTCATCTACAATAAATATTAATTTTACAATTTTCCCCATAGTCTACCTACAGTAGGGTTTCTCAACCTCACCAGTATTGACATTTTGAGGCAGATAATTGTTTCTTGTGAGAGGGCTGTTCACACACTGCAGGATGTTTAGCAGTATCCCCGGCCTCTACCTGCTAGATTCCAGTAGCAGCCTCATAGGCATCACAACCAAAAATGTCTGCACACAATGCCAAATGTCCCTTGAGGTACACTATGCCTCTGGTTGAGAACCACTGATCTCAAGACAGATAAAAAGGAAAACTACCATTGCCGATACCTCAGGTTAAAGTAACACACCAAGTACATAAACAAAACACTAGACCATACCACTATTAATGCATGTCTGACAAGAGTCCCCTGGAAATGATTTCAATACTTATGATTTCAATAAATATGATCCTATTTCCATCAGCACAGAAGACAGTGTTTATAGTTATATGCTTATTTAGAAATCAGTTTTATAAGACTTTTCCCAGTCTCAAAATGAAAAGGAGTAAAAGTTACTGGATTCAAAATGGATTCTACACTGACAAATTTGACTAACAATCTACAGGATGAATTAACAACATACCAAGAAATGAGTGATTCCCTACATATTTTCTAAATGTCTGGATGTGTTAAGTGCTATTTTTTACAGTGTTAATAAATGATGATGATTATAAAGCAACAATGTTAACTACATCACCATTTACCCATAAGTACTAACCATACTGCAGTTGCTATTTGCTGAAATGCATTTCTTGTCATCACACCATTGGCACCCATTTGTATTGGCAGTACAGCTGGCACAATCTGCATATCTGTAACATCTGTCATCAGCGGCAGCTGTAATACAAATACAGGATAGAAACACATCAGGATGAAAAAGAAAATGTCACACTTCTTGATTCACAGATTTTTAACATCTGCTTAAGAATCACTAAGGCATTTTTAAACTATAAATATGACCATTAATATCAAAATAAGTTCTTCAATATGAAGCCAACTTTGTCGTTTAGTTGTCTACAGAATTTAGATACCTCCTACCCTTATTTTAATTACTGACTAACAGGATGCTACAGCCATTTAAAACGTGTACTTGGAGGCAGGAAAAACTTCACAGGTAATTTAGTGAACAAAATATACTATACTTAGTACATTACTATACATCTAAAAGAAAACATTATAACAAATACTTATTGTTTATCATTCTTCATAAAGCTATTTAGAAACATTTGAGTTATTTCGATTAGCAAAACTTGAAAATATATTTGTTAATTGCAGCACTGACCATGTACAAATGCCCACCGATTTACAGAAAACTGAACAATTTTTATCCTGCTCGTTTGTTCATAAATAAATATTTACTAGTAATTTTTCATAACCTTGATTTACTCATTCAATATTTTCTAGGAAATATTAAACAGAACATTAGTCATCAAAATTATAGAAAAAATTTTAACTTCGTGGTCTGACTTGGCAATAATTCAGGAAGAAAAAAAACTACCAAAGCAGAATAAATCACTTCATTTTATTTCTTTGAATCACACATTATTTCCTAGAAAAGATTACTTAAAAGCATTTTTTACTTATATAGGAAAACAACCCATATGCATGACCATGTTACATACAAAATATTGACATGTACTGTTACATACTGATTTTAAAAATAGCTAATAAGGATATTAAATTATTAATTGCTGCCTAGTTCAAACACTAGAAACCTAATTAGAGGATTATGAATTTTTAATTTCTGAAAGCTACTAAGGTAATTCTCACAAGCAGAACACATTTCTACTTCTGGTCAAGAAGAGTTTTGTGCCAGATAGACGGAAAAGAAAACAAAACTTTTACCTGTTTTACGAGGGCACTTTGCTCTAAGAATATTATTCGTATTCCCAGATTCCCAAGATTCACAGTAATTTTTATTCCAAATACATTTGATTCCTGGACCAGCATTTTTACAAAGTTCTTCATCTCTGAAAGCCTTGCAATTCGGAGGCTTGTACACAAGGATATCATTAAGGAGAACACTAGAAAATCCTCCAAATATATACATGGACCTAGTAAGAAACAATACAAGAATCTTAAGAAACAATATTAAAAGAAGTCTCTGTCAAATGTATTAGTTTTAAAAATAAATTTAAATATAAATTTTACATTATTTTATCAAGGTAGGAAACTAATTTTTTTAGAACTAGATAATAGCTATACATGGATTATAAGATATACTTTAGAATTGCTATCTAAAATTATAATTTTTGAATACAGACATAGAATTAAAAATTAGATACAAAGTTCTCCTTATAGTATTTTATTATCCGCCTGTAAAATTTAAAAGAGTATAATGATCAGAAAGATTTTCAAAATTTCAATTTGAAAAGAAAAGCCCAGTCAATTACTGAATTTATTAATACTACCAGTGCCAAAAAAAAAATTGGCATGCCTCAAAACAGTGTACTTATTAATATAATAAATAGAAAAGATCAGAAAATATTTCAATAATACCCTTTACTATTTAAGTAAAAGAAAAATCAATCAAACACAATTTTTCAACAGAGAAGCTTAGGGGTTATATGTTTACACTCTGAATTTCATTTAGCACACTTCTGAAAGCCAATTGATATCATCTACACAGCTTCACTGTACTTAACTTCTATCTGCTTTTACTATCATATTGGAGATTTTTTACATAATCAGAATAAAATGAACTTGTAAACATGTTCACATTTTAAGCTAATGAGAGCATATTTTTACTGTCACCTGAGTCCACATTACCAAATTTTTGCTATAGAAATAGAAAAATCGTATTAACTTAAAGGTGGGAGGCAACGTAATGATCACACAGTCCAAACTCCCAATGGATTTAAGGATATTAAAGTACAGAGGGGTTCTAAGAGACTTGTCAAAAATCTTCCATTTAGTTATTGACAGAATTAAAATGAAATCTAATTCTTCTCACTTTCCTTGTTCACCTTGATATAAATATGGGGCTAGCCTTTCTACCACTTCAGTTTGATCTCTGGAAAAAGTAAGTAGGCAGGATGACTTTTTTAAAAGTAGCTGAGGTTTTATGTCAGCACCTTTCCTTTGACTACTCCTCTACCCCTTAGATATATTTAAACAAAATAAAATGAAGGCTATGATTAAGGAACCAAAAGGTATTCTACAGTAGAGTAGGGGTACATAAAATCCAATGCCATTAAGTACGAGCAATAGTTTTTAGCAGAATATGCAGATAGTAAAACTGATAAGTGTATTTCTTTTACCCATTAATGACAACTGCAGAGTGGCCAAATCTGTTGACATCTCTATGAAGATTTGGTTTTGGTAATATTTTCCATTCATCACAAGCTGGAACAAAGAAAACAGTAAAATGGAAAATGAAATAAAAGAATAAATTAAGACGAATACTATAAAATACCCATAGGCCAAATTAAACATGCAATGTTGAACAACTGGAAGCCTTTCATTAATTTTTCATGACCTACAGTTCAGTACTGCTATTCAACTAGCATCATTCCTTAAATAAAAACAACTTCTGCCTAAAATTCCCACAAATAAATTTAAGTGTATAAAAATAAAGGAAATGAAAGAAAATAAATTAAGTGTATTTTATACTGGAAAACAGTGTCAATGACATATATTAATTAAATAATATATGTTCACATAGGTTCACATAGCAAAATACATGAATGTCAGTATTAGGCAAAGCTATTAGAAAGTTAAATCACTAAATCAAACTTGACGTAGATGCATACAAAATTAAAGGGAATATATAATATTCAGTGAAGAAAGGTCTAAAAACAGAATCATCAAAATAAAATATAAGTGTGGAACAAGAAGAGACTGAATAGCCAAAGCCATCTTACAAACGATGACCAAAGCTGGAAGTACCACACTCCCTGATACCAAATTATACTACAAAGCTGTAGTGATCAAAACAGTGTGGACTGGCACAAAGACAGGCGCACAGATCAATGGGACAGAATGAAGAGCCCAGAAATAAACCCACACCTATATGGTCCATTAATGTATGACAAGGAAGGCAAGAATACACAATAAACGGTGTTAGGAAAACTGGAGAGCTATGTACACAAGAATGAAATTGGACTACTTTCTAACATCATATACAAAAAGTAACGCAAAATGGGTTAAACACTTAAACATACACAGACACACAGACACACACACACACACACACACACACACACACACACACACACACAAAGACAGACTGGAATATTACTAAGCCATAAAAAATAAAATCTTGTCATTTGTGACAACACCAATGGACCTAGAGGATATCATGCTAAATGAAATAAATCAAAGATAAATACCAAATGCTTTTACTTATATGTGAAATAAAAACATCAAAACAAATGAACAAACAAAACAAAACAGAAACAGACTCATAGACACAAAGAACAAACTGATGTTTGCCAGGCATGGGAGGATGAGTGAAATAAGTGAAGGGGATTAAGAGGTACAAACTCCCAGTTATATAATAAATAAGTCACAGGAATGTATTGTGCAGGTGTGACCTGTAATGAGTACAAATGGCATAACAAAACTGATGGGAAATTTTGTGCTTGGGCAAGACATGTTGACTGTCAAAATTCTTTTTTTTTTAACTTTCTCTTTTTTCCCCAGTTTTACTGAGATATAATTGACATATAGCATTGTATAAGTTTATAGTACAGAGCATAATGATTTTTTAATTTTATTACTTTCTATATTAGTTTCTGGTGTACAAAACAACATAATGATTAGACATTTACACCCCTCACAAGGTGATAACCTCCCTCCAAGTCTAGCACCCCTCTGATATTGTATATATTATAGCTGTTACAATACCATTGACTATGTTCTCTATGCTGTACATCCGTTGGGGAGAAAAAAAAAATATATATATATATATATACACATATATATATATACACACACACACACACACACACACACACACA